TGACTGTCTAGCGACGACTGCGACATCTCACTAGATAGCTGGTTGACTGTCTAGCGACAACAGCGACGTCTCACCAGATAGCCGGTTGACTGTCTAGCAATGACTGCGACATCTCACTAGATAGCTGGTTGACTGTCTAGCGACGACTGCGACGTCTCACCAGATAGCTGGTTGACTGTCTAGCGACGACTGCGACGTCTCACTAGATAGCCTGTTGACTATCCAGCGACGACTGCGACGTCTCACTAGATAGCTGGTTGACTGTCTAGCGACAACAGCGACGTCTCACCAGATAGCTGGTTGGCTGTCTAGCGACTACTGCGAAGTCTCACCAGATAGCCGGTTGACTGTCTAGCGACGACTGCGACGTCTCACTAGATAGCCTGTTGACTATCCAGCGACGACTGCGACGTCTCACTAGATAGCTGGTTGACTGTCTAGCGACAACAGCGACGTCTCACTAGATAGCTGGTTGACTGTCTAGCGACGACTGCGACGTCTCACTAGATAGCTGGTTGACTGTCTAGCGACAACAGCGACGTCTCACCAGATAGCTGGTTGACTTTCTAGAGACGACTGCGACATCTCACTAGATAGCTGGTTGACTGTCTAGCGACAACAGCGACGTCTCACCAGATAGCTGGTTGACTGTCTAGCGACGACTGCAACATCTCACTAGATAGCTGGTTGACTGTCTAGCGACAACAGCGACTTCTCACCAGATAGCTGGTCGACTGTCTAGCGATGACTGCGACGTCTCACCAAATAGCTGGTCGACTGTCTAGCGACGACTGCGACAACTCACTAGATAGCTGGTTGACTGTCTAGCGACAACAGCGACGTCTCACTAGATAGCTGGTTGACTGTCTAGCGATGACTGCGACGTCTCACTAGATAGCTGGTTGACTGTCTAGCGACAACAGCGACGTCTCACCAGATAGCTGGTTGACTGTCTAGCGACGACTGCGACATCTCACTAGATAGCTGGTTGACTGTCTAGCGACAACAGCGACGTCTCACCAGATAGCCGGTTGACTGTCTAGCAATGACTGCGACATCTCACTAGATAGCTGGTTGACTGTCTAGCGACAACAGCGACTTCTCACCAGATAGCTGGTCGACTGTCTAGCGATGACTGCGACGTCTCACCAGATAGCTGGTAGACTGTCTAGCGACGACTGCGACATCTCACCAGATAGCTGGTTGGCTGTCTAGCGACTACTGCGACGTCTCACTAGATAGCTGGTTGACTGTCAAGCGATGACTACGACGTCTCACCAGATAGCTGGTCAACTGTCTAGCGACAACTGCGACATCTCACTAGATAGCTGGTTGGCTGTCCAGCGACGACTGCGACGTCTCACTAGATAGCTGGTTGGCTGTCTAGCGACTACTGCGACGTCTCACCAGATAGCCGGTTGACTGTCTAGCGACGACTGCGACGTCTCACTCGATAGCCTGTTGACTGTCCAGCGACGACTGCGACGTCTCACTAGATAGCTGGTTGACTGTCTAGCGACAACAGCGACGTCTCACTAGATAGCTGGTTGACTGTCTAGCGACGACTGCGACGTCTCACTAGATAGCTGGTTGACTGTCTAGCGACAACAGCGACGTCTCACCAGATAGCTGGTTGACTGTCTAGAGACGACTGCGACATCTCACTAGATAGCTGGTTGACTGTCTAGCGACAACAGCGACGTCTCACCAGATAGCCGGTTGACTGTCTAGCAATGACTGCGACATCTCACTAGATAGCTGGTTGACTGTCTAGCGACAACAGCGACTTCTCACCAGATAGCTGGTCGACTGTCTAGCGATGACTGCGACGTCTCACCAGATAGCTGGTCGACTGTCTAGCGACGACTGCGACATCTCACTAGATAGCTGGTTGACTGTCTAGCGACAACAGCGACGTCTCACCAGATAGCTGGTTGACTGTCTAGCGACGACTGCGACATCTCACTAGATAGCTGGTTGACTGTCTAGCGACAACAGCGACATCTCACCAGATAGCCGGTTGACTGTCTAGCAATGACTGCGACATCTCACTAGATAGCTGGTTGGCTGTCTAGCGACTACTGCGACGTCTCACTAGATAGCTGGTTGACTGTCAAGCGATGACTACGACGTCTCACCAGATAGCTAGTTGACTGTCTAGCGACGACGGCGACATCTCACTATATAGCTGGTTGACTGTCTAGCGACAACAGCGACATCTCACCAGATAGCTGGTTGACTGTCTAGCGATGACAGCGACGTCTCACCAGATAGCTGGTTGACTGTCTAGCGATGACAGCAACGTCTCACCAGATAGCTGGTTGACTGTCTAGCGACGACTGCGACGTCTCACCAGATAGCTGGTTGACTGTCTAGCGACGACTGCGACGTCTCACTAGATAGCTGTTTGACTGTCTAGCGACGACTGCGACGTCTCACCAGATAGCTGGTTGACTGTCTAGCGATGACTACGACATCTCACCAGATAGCTGGTTGACTGTCTAGCGACGACGGCGACATCTCACTATATAGCTCGTTGACTATCTAGCGACAACAGCGACATCTCACTAGATAGCTGGTTGACTGTCTAGCGACGACTGCGACGTCTCACCAGATAGCTGGTTGACTGTCTAGCGACGACTGCGACATCTCACCAGATAGCTGGTTGACTGTCTAGCGACGACTGCGACGTCTCACTAGATAGCTGGTTGACTGTCTAGCGATGACTGCGACGTCTCACTAGATAGCTGGTTGGCTGTCTAGCGACGACTGCGACGTCTCACCAGATAGCTGGTTGACTGTCTAGCGACGACTGCGACGTCTCACTAGATAGCTGGTTGACTGTCTAGCGACGACTGCGATGTCTCACCAGATAGCTGGTTGACTGTCTAGCGATGACTACGACGTCTCACCAGATAGCTGGTTGACTGTCTAGCGACAACAGCGACGTCTCACTAGATAGCTGGTTGACTGTCTAGCGATGACTACGACCTCTATCTAGATAGCTGTTTGACTGTCTAGCGATGACTACGACGTCTCACTAGATAGCTGGTTGACTGTCTAGCGACGACAGCGACGTCTCACTAGATAGCTGGTTGACTGTCTAGCGATGACTGCGACATCTCACTAGATAGTTGGTTGACTGTCTAGCGATGACTTCGACGTCTCACCAGATAGCTGGTTGACTATCAGGCGACGACTGCAACATCTCACCAGATAGCTGGTTGACTGTCTACCGATGACTGCGACGTCTCACTAGATAGCTGGTTGACTGTCTAGCGACGATGAAGCGATCCCATCCCCAACAGACCCGAACCCGACTCGTCCCTGCCTTTTATTTCCCCAGCGTGGCCATGCTCCACCCATGGCCACGCCCCTCTTCTCGAACTCTCTCGCGGGTTCTAGGAACTTCCAGAGAGATCCCCTCTTTGACCCTTGGCCTAGTTATCCCCGCTTGTGGTCACTCACGTGTATACTAGGGCTGAACGATTAATCGATTTCAAATCGAAATGACAAATTGAAACAATGCGATTAGCAAATCACAAAGGCAGCAATTTTTTGCGATTTGAAATGTCCTATTACTTTCTTATTGTAATAGTTTTATTTGTTATTATTATAACTTTATTTACTTAACGTAACAATTCTTCTATGTTTGATTGTTCTATTTCAATTAAAACATTTTTATAAATACATGTTGGAAGCAATTAATATATTTTAAGTTCTCATCCTTGCATTAGAATACATAGAGCAGTTAATATTTTGATGGTATCATGTGGTAATGCTCCGTCAAATGTTTTAAATCTATTACACAGTGAATATTGAACTGAAGCTTGACTTTTAAAAAAATCGTCGCAAATCAAATCGCAATATCTGTAAGAAAAATCGCAATAAGCTATTTTCCCGAAATCGTTCAGCCCTCGTGTATACTCTCTTCTGTCGTTCTTATCCTCTTCCCACACCCGTAATAACCACTTATGGTCGCTAGTCGGCGCACTGTCTCTACACCATTGAGACTCACACACTTCGTCCTCCTTAAGAATCCCACACCCCCTTCAATTCCTCCAGCTGCTCCGTCCTCCTTAAGAATCCTACACCGCACCCCCTTCAATTCCTCCAGTTGCTCCGTCCTCCTTAAGAATCCTACACCGCACCCTTCTTTAATTCCTCCAGTTGCTCCGTCCTCCTTAAGAATCCTACACCGCACCCCCTTTAATTCCTCCAGCTGCTCCGTCCTCCTTAAGAATCCTACACCGCACTCCCCGTTAATTCCACCAACTGCTTCGTCCTCCTTAAGAATCCTACACCGCACCCCCTTCAATTCCTCCAGTTGCTCCGTCCTCCTTAAGAATCCTACACCGCACCCTTCTTTAATTCCTCCAGCTGCTCCGTCCTCCTTAAGAATCCTACACCGCACCCTTCTTTAATTCCTCCAGCTGCTCCGTCCTCCTTAAGAATCCTACACCGCACCCCCTTCAATTCCTCCAGTTGCTCCGTCCTTTTTAAGAACCCAGCAACGGCCCCTCCCTCGCCCCCTCTCCACCGCGCCTCGCCCCGCCCCTCTCGCTCCACGCCTTCGATTTTCCATGACACGGCGCGCGGGCGCCTGGACCAATGGGTGCGTCGTGTTACGAGCACGTGGGGGTGGCGGGCGCTCTCCCCTTCCCTCTCCCCCACAGAGAGGGAGGGGAGAGCGAGAGGGAGAGAGAAGGGAGAGAGAGAGAGGGGAGGGGAGAGCGCGCGAGAGGGAGCGAGAGAGGGGAGGGGAGAGAGAGAGGGTAGGGGAGAGCGCGCGAGAGGGAGGGGAGAGCGAGAGAGAGGGAGGGAGGGAGAGAGAGGAGAGGGGAGAGAGAGGGAGGGTAGGGGAGAGAGAGGGGAGAGCGAGAGGGGAGGCGAGAGAGAGAGAGGGGAGAGCGAGAGAGAGAGGGAGAGAGCGAGAGGGGAGGGGAGAGAGAGAGGGGAGGGGAGAGAGAGAGGGGAGGGGAGAGAGAGAGGGGGGAGAGGAGAGAGAGAGAGGGGTAGGGGAGAGCGCGCGAGAGGCAAGGGGGGAGAGAGAGAGAGAGTCGCTCTCTCAGCGGGCAGCCCCCGAGACGCCCCTCACGCTCGCTCCCCGTGGCTGCCCCCTCACGCAGGCGCTGCCCTGCAACAGCGACTCGCGACTCCGACTCCGTCTTCGCCTGCGCCGCCGCCGCCGCCTCCCGCGCGCCGGGACCCGTCTCGCGTGTCCACGTTCCTGGGGCCCGCTCCAGGTTCGCCTCAGGTGTTGCAGGTGAGAGACGAGATGGCGCTGCCGAGGGAAATGAGGGGACGGGGGGGAGTTGTCTTGCGTGAGTGTGTTGTGTGTCTGTGTGTTGTGAGTCTGTGTGTGTTGTGTGTCTGTGTGTTGTGAGTGTGTGAGTCTGTGTGTGGTGTGCGTGTTGTGTAAGTGTGGGTGTGTTGTGTGTGTGTGGTGTCTGTTGTGTGTGTGAGTCTGTGTGGTGTGTGTGGATAGTTGTGTGTTGTGTGTCTTGAGTCTGTGTGTTTGTGGGTAGTTCTGTGCAAGTGGGGAGCGGTGGCCCAGTGGTCAGGGCCCAGCTACCGACTACCCGAGTTCGATTCCCGCTCACGGCCAACACGAGCGACGATTTTCTGAACCCGTCCTGGGCCTCCCCCAGGTCGACTGCCTCAAATGAGTACCTGGTGCGGTGTGTAGTAAACATCGCCACTGGGGAGACAAAGGCGGCCGGGCGTGGTTCCTGCCACCTCGTCATGCCGGCCTTCATAGGCGCGGACTCGCTTACATCACTTGCCCCAACAGGCTGTGACAGGCTATACAGGGGATCTTTGTCTTTGTGTGTGAAGGCTTGTGGTGTGGGTGGCTGCGTGGGTGTGTGAATGGGCAACTGTGTGTGGGTGATGAGTGGTGTTGTCTCTATGGGTGTGGGTGTTGGGCTGTGTGGGTACGTGTTTGTGTGTTGGTGAGTATGTGTGTGTGTCTGTGGGGGTGATTGTGAGTGCGTGTTGGTGTGTGAGTGGGTGTGTGTGTTGGTGAGTGAGTGTGTGTGGGTGAGTGGGTGTGTGTGTCTGTGGAGGTGATTGTGAGTGTGTGTTGGTGAGTGAGTAGGTGTGTGTGCGGGTGAGTGAGTAGTTGTGGGTGTTGGTGAGTGAGTAGGTGTGTGTGTGGGTGAGTGAGTAGGTGTGGGTGTGTGTGTGGGTGTGTGAGTGGGTGTGTGTGTTAGTGAGTGAGTGTGTGTGGGTGAGTGGGTGTGTGTGTGTCTGTGGAGGTGATTGTGAGTGTGTGTTGGTGAGTTAGTAGGTGTGTGTGTGGGTGAGTGAGTAGGTGTGGGTGTTGGTGAGTAGGTGTGTGTGTGGGTGAGTAGGTGTGTGTTGGTGAGTGAGTGGGTGTGTGTGTTGGTGGGTGAGTGGGTGTGTGTTGGTGAGTGAGTGGGTGTGTGTGTTGGTGAGTGAGTGTGTTGGTGAGTGAGTGGGTGTGTGTGTGGGTGAGTGGGTGGGTGTGTGTGTGGGTGGGTGGGTGTGTGTGTGGGTGATTGAGTGAGTAGGTGTGTGTGTGGGTGATTGAGTGAGTAGGTGTGTGTGTGGGTGAGTGAGTAGGTGTGGGTGTTGGTGAGTAGGTGTGTGTGTGGGTGAGTGAGTAGGTGTGTGTGTTGGTGAGTGAGTGGGTGTGTGTGTTGGTGGGTGAGTGGGTGTGTGTTGGTGAGTGAGTGGGTGTGTGTGTGTGTGTGTTGGTGAGTGAGTGTGTTGGTGAGTGAGTGGGTGTGTGTGTGGGTGAGTGGGTGGGTGTGTGTGTGGGTGAGTGGGTGGGTGTGTGTGTTGGTGAGTGGGTGGGTGTGTGTGTGGGTGATTGAGTGAGTAGGTGTGTGTGTGGGTGATTGAGTGACTAGGTGTGTGTGTGGGTGATTGGGTGAGTAGGTGTGTGTGTGGGTGATTGAGTGAGTAGGTGTGTGTGTGGGTGATTGAGTGAGTAGGTGTGTGTGTGGGTGATTGAGTGAGTAGGTGTGTGTGTGGGTGAGTGAGTAGGTGTGGGTGTTGGTGAGTGAGTGGGTGTGTGTGTGTGTGGGTGAGTGGGTGGGTGTGTGTGTTGGTGAGTGAGTAGGTGTGGGTGATTAAGTGTGTGTGGGTTATTGAGTATGGGAGGGGAACAGGTGTGTTGGGGGGTGTGGATAGTTGTTTTTGTGTGTAGGTTGGTGGTGTGCGTGAGCATTGGTGTGTGTAGGTGGGGTGTGTGTGTAGGTGGGGTGTGTGTGTAGGTGGGGTGTGTGTGTAGGTGGGGTGTGTGTGTGTGAGTGGGTGTGTCTAGGTGGGGTGTGTGTGTGTATTGAGGGGTGTTTGTGGAGCGGTAGTGTCGTGGTTAGCGCGCTGCGCTATGAACCTGGCGACCCGAGTTCGATTCCCGCTCACGGCCAACACCAGTGACGTTTATCTGAACCGGTCCCGGGCCTCCCCTAGGTCGACGCATCCTCAAACGAGCACCTGGTGCGGTGTGTAAACATCGCCACTGGGGAGACAAAGGCGTCCGGGCGTGATGATGGCCACCCAACCCTTTGTGTGCCGTGCCGGCCCGAAGTGCAGCTCGCTAACAGCACTTGCCTTTATAGGTGCTCGCTAACAGCACTTGCCCCTACAGTCTGTTCAGGCTATACTGGGATCTTTTTCTTTGTAGGTGTGTGTGGTGTGTAGGTGGGGTGTGTGTGGTGTGGGTAGTGTGTTTTGGGGGGGTGTAGTGTGTATGGGGTGGTGTGTAGGTGTGTGTGGTGTGTAGGTGAGGTGTGTGTGTAGTGTGCATGGGGGGGGGGTATAGGTGTGTGTGGTGTGTATGGGGGGGGTGTAGGTGTGTGTAGTGTGTATTGGGGGGGTGTAGGTGTGTGTAGTGTGTATTGGGGGGGTTGTAGGTGTGTGTGGTGTGTATTGGGGGGTGTAGGTGTGTGTGGTGTGTGTAGTGTGTATTGGGAGGGGTGTAGGTGTGTGTTGTGTGTATTGGGGGGGTGTAGGTGTGTGTTGTGTGTGTAGTGTGTATTGGGGGGGGGTCTAGGTGTGTGTAGTGTGTATTGGGGGGGGGTGTAGGTGTGTGTAGTGTGTATTGGGGGGGTTGTAGGTGTGTGTGGTGTGTATTGGGGGGTGTAGGTGTGTGTGGTGTGTGTAGTGTGTATTGGGAGGGGTGTAGGTGTGTGTGGTGTGTGTAGTGTGTATTGGGAGGGGTGTAGGTGTGTGTAGTGTGTATTGGGGGGGTTGTAGGTGTGTGTGGTGTGTATTGGGGGGGTTGTAGGTGTGTGTGGTGTGTATTGGGGGGGGGTGTAGGTGTGTGTAGTTTGTATTGGGGGGGTTGTAGTTGTGTGTGGTGTGTGTGGTGTGTATTGGGGGGTGTAGGTGTGTGTGGTGTGTGTAGTGTGTATTGGGGGGGGTGTAGGTGTGTGTGGTGTGTGTAGTGTGTATTGGGGGGGGTGTAGGTGTGTGTGGTGTGTGTAGTGTATATTGGGGGGGGTGTAGGTGTGCGTGGTGTGTGTAGTGTGTATTGGGGGGGGTGTAGGTGTGTGTGGTGTGTATTGGGGGGGGTTGTAGGTGTGTGTGGTGTGTGTAGTGTGTATTGGGGGGGTTGTAGGTGTGTGTGGTGTGTATTGTAGGTGTGTGTGTAGTGTGTATTGGGGGGGGGGTGTAGGTGTGTGTAGTGTGTATTGGGGGGGTTGTAGGTGTGTGTGGTGTGTATTGGGGGGTGTAGGTGTGTGTGGTGTGTATTGGGGGGGGTTGTAGGTGTGTGTGGTGTGTGTAGTGTGTATTGGGAGGGGTGTAGGTGTGTGTAGTGTGTATTGGGGGGGTTGTAGGTGTGTGTGGTGTGTATTGGGGGGGAGTTAGGTGTGTGTAGTGTGTATTGGGGGGGGGGTGTAGGTGTGTGTAGTGTGTATTGGGGGGGGTGTAGGTGTGTATTGGGGGGGGTGTAGGGGTGTGTGGTGTGTGTAGTGTGTATTGGGGGGGGTGTAGGTGTGCGTGGTGTGTGTAGTGTGTATTGTAGGTTTGTGTGTAGTGTGTATTGGGGGTGGGGGTGTGGGTGTTCTAGGGAGCGGTAGTGTTAGTGGTAAGCACGCTGTAAACCAGGTGACCCGAGTTCGATTCCCGCTCATGGCCAACACCAGTGACGATTATCTGAACCGGTCCTGGGCCTACCCTAGGTCAACTCAGCCTCAAATAAGTACCCGGTGCGATGTGTAAACATTGCCACTAGGGAGACAAAGGCGGCTGGGCGTGGTGCTAGCAACCCACCACCCCCTAGTGCGTGGTGCCGGCCTTCATCGCTAACAGCACTTGTCGCAACCGTCTGTTAAGCCTCCACGGGGGATCTTTATCTTGTGTGTTGATGGGGGGTATTGGAATGTAGTTGCCAATTGTCTCCCATTCCGCTCACTGCATGCGTCTCGCCGTGTCGCCCCGTGTCTCTGCTTGTCTCTCTCCACGTCCCCGTGTCTCCGCCCTCTACACATGTCTTCCCGTGTCATCAAGGCGCCTGCACGTGTCTCCCCCTGACTCTCCCCGTGTCTCCATGACCCTATCCGCACGTGTCTCCCCCCCCTCACCCCCCCCCCCCCCCCCGTGTCTCCGTGTCTCCACGTGTCTCGGGTTGGTCTCCGCGTGCCATGCATATTGCATGAGGGTGGCGTGGTCCCGTCTCCCCGTCCCATTGTATCTCACGCACACAGCATCTATAATGCATCAGGCGCCCACGCACAACAAAGGTCCCCCCTCTAGCCCACGAGGGCTGACGGGGCAAGTGCTGTGGGCGAGCAGCGCCCACGGACGCCCGTACTGCACCTTTACGATGCTCAATAGAGTACGGCGCCCTACCAGGTACTCGTTTGAGGCCGAGTCGATCTCGGCGTCCTAGCTGTTTGCTTCTGGTTGCGAGCGCGAGTCGAACTCGGTTCCCTCAGGTTATTAGCGCAGCGCGCTAACCACTGCGCCACCGCTGTCCACATACACACGCATCCCCGTACACAACGGCCGCCGTACGCCATGAAATGGCGGTGACATCACCGTGGCACCTGTGCCAGGCCAGGTGCACTTTTAAGCCATGTAAAGTGTCGAAGGCTCGCTGACAGGAGGTCACGGGACAGAGCCAAGTGCCATGGGTTGACTGGCAGCTGCCAGTCATTTCTGCATTTTATGTTTTGTATCCGCCCGGCGCTCCACGAGTTGTCGTGAGCGTCGCCCCTCTGCCCTCCATTATTGTTGGAGGACGACTATCTCCAACTGCCCAGTAATGTCCTTCATGAGCCTCTTCCA